TTATGTATGAGTTATTCTTCAACTTTATTAATGTCAAAAAAATCAATACCTATTTGTGCTGTACTATTCTATGTATTCTTTTTTGTTAACCTTTAAGGAACAAAATAAATTATTTATGTCAAAAAAAAAAAATGTCACAGCATCGCGCTTGGACAAGCCGTAAGGTCGTTGCCCTCTGCCTCGTTCAGCGGGCGTTTTTTGACAATTTTTTCGATTTTCCATTCCTGACGGATTTATGTACTATGGACTACGTACTTTCAGAAAATAGTGCTTTCAATACTGTTTATAGCTTTATTGTGATTGAAAGCTGCCTCGTAAGTAGCACCCGCTCTCCCTCTTCGTCAAAGAACGATTTTTTCATCACATGGAAACATAGCTTGTCGACCAACTGGATCATCACAGTGATGTCTGTTTTCTTTCTGACCGTGTACTTCCAGTTTTGGACCTGTGTACTTTCTAGTCAAAAACGAGTTTATGATCCAGCCTGGCGATCTACTTGAAAACAAAACGTCCACACCTGTGCGATTTTTGGATTCAGCATCGTGAAACACATCTAGGCACTTGTCATTCGATGACTTTTCTTCAAGTCTTAAACTCTTGTAGCTGATCAAACATCGATCACTCGAACTTTGAGGTGCTCACCGCGCAATGCTATCTAGTTTTTTTTGCCACGAGAGCTAGAGACTTCTTTCAAGATTCGCCTTGCCTTGCTCCACAAAAGTATATGTCCTTTTTTCCAAAACGAAGATCAAAATATGAAAAGATCAGGAGATAATCGAGATTTTTCTGAAAAATCGGTTTTTCAAGGTGAGAACCTCAAGGTTCTAGTGATCAGTGTTTGATCAGCTACAAGAGTTTAAGACTTGAAGAAAAGTCATCGAATGACAAGTGCCTAGATGTGTTTCACGATGCTGAATCCAAAAATCGCACGGGTGAGATCAAAAAATGAAAAGATCAGGAGATAATCGGGATTTTTCTGAAAAATCGGTTTTTCGAGGTTTTTGACACCCTCACAGTATTTTGGGGTTTTTTGCACGAAAACTCGGTCAAATCGAAAGAATAAGATCAGATTTGTGATCAGCAGTGTCCGACGAGTCAGAATATGTGTTTGAAAATTCAGAAGCTTTTCTACTTGATTTTTGCATTAGCGGCACCTTAGAAAATGAACGGTTTTTTGAAAAAATGGGTTCTTCACGTATTTCAAATGTTTCAGCTATAAAAAGAGTTTTCAAAAGTTAAAAACCATTTTTCCTTACTCAGCTCATCGCGCTCTGTCCAACATGAATTAATTAGCAAAAAAAGTTTCACTTGAAGTTCGGATTACCGGCATCTGATTTCATGTATATTTTATAATTCGTCATCATTATATAGTTTACATAAAATTCCAAATATATACGTTTTACATTTATGTACAACAAATTTGATGTAAATTTTGAAATTCTGTTCAGTAGCATCCAATTAATTTACGGTATATTGGGTTTAAAGATTTATTAGAATGGAAAAAGTATGAAAAGAGAACGCCGATTGGACTAAATGGAGAACGGAGTGCGAATTATTTAACTTTTACGATATCTAGAGAAAGTGACTGGAAAGAGAACGGTTTTGAAAGGATATTTTTTCATTGTGTTATATGTGGGTACCATGTAGTTTCAAAAGTTCGCATGTCTTTAGGACAAAAAAACGTGGCAAACCAGAAAAGCATAGTCTTACTTATATAAGTTTAACTCTTTTAAACTCTTTTTGACTGGATTCTGAAAGTTTTAAGTGTGTAATCGGTTTGTCTTTTATATCATTTTAGTTTTGTCACCTCATCAACGAGTGATATTTTTTTTCGTACATATTACTTAGGACCGTTACAGTAATTATTACAAATTTGACTTATGTTCACCGTCACCAAGCATATCTTGGTATAAACTTAATGTCTACTAACTTTTTTTTCTCCACTATTTTTTTACTACTAGCTCCGTTGTTTGTGCTAATTTTTGTGCACCCTTGTACAATTCGGTTATGGCAAAACGATCTATCGCTTTCTCTTTAAATAAATTATCATCGAACAGAGTGGGTAATTTTTCTCGGAAATCAACGAAACGATTCATACCTAAATCGGGTCAATTTATTTTATATCTTAGCAGATGTGACGGTGCCAGATCTATAACTTACTCATAGTGATTGAGTGACGTTCTCTCTTAGCTGGTGTTTTTGCCCCTACTCCGGCTTCTGCACTATTCTCATCTAACAGTAGTGTAATTCTTGTAGATGTTTCCGCGTTTGACGCTGACTCCGAGTTTTGATTGTAGAAAGTTTGATCATGCTTTTTCAAGATCGATACAGGTTTTAAATCATTGACTTCATACGAGTTTAGCAGATCGATTTGTGTACTTCGATGAAAGTAAGAACGACGTAATCGTGAATGAATAACAATAAGAACAGGTAGAGCAGCAACGACGACTAATGTAGAAATTCCCACACCAATGAGAACATAATTCGGAGATTCTACAGTAAGATTGTCTCGACTTGAATTTGATGATGGTGTGGAGAGTGTGTGTATATCTGTAGAGAGGTTAACTAAGGTGTGGACTTTCTGCATATATGCATTGAGAAATTGTGAAAAAATAATGATAAAAAGTACCGAAGACATTTATTTCTCTCTATGATTTAAAAAATGTGTCTGTAATTGATTGTGGTGCTAGTAGAAGTTAACTGTGTTTGCTATTTTTAGTTTCTTCAACTAATAGTATAACTAAAAAGTATATAAACTAAAATATATGGTATAGAAAGGGAGATTGAACTCGTCAATAATGCATAAACTGAGAATTAGAAAAGCAATAAGTTGAAATTCGTGTGTAACTACTCATGTTCGAAACAATAGTGACTGGCGCTTGTCTCTCATAGAAAATTATCGACGACGAATATTAAATATCGATTTGTATCCAGACACTTCACACTCAAATGGTTAAGCAGATAAAATAAAGTATATACATTTTGAAATAGATCCACTTATATACTTATTTTTGGTCTTCTATTTTGTCTGGCAAGTCGAGTTCCACTTAAACACTGTGTTCGACAAAAATTCGATAGAAACTAAAGTAGTCGGATGGGATGGAAATACACATTCACCGACTCAGTTTTTGATTCTGATTTCGAATATGATACTTTTATTGCATAAAAGTTGAGTTCTGATGGAGAAAATTGAGAATTACGAATGATATATAATAGTCGTGAGGAATTGTGAAACTGAGAGAGAAAGATCCAAAACTGCGATCTATCATATATATCAAATGCAGTAGAAACTTGATCAAATTTGATTCGATCAATTTTTGTCTGAGAGTGGTTGTGAGGTCTAGTAAGTACGTAGAAGTATTCCTCTCTTTATTCTACATCTAACCTTTGATTAGTCGATGAAATTCAGCCATGGACCGATTTCATTAGATAAGCGCTCCATTCCTTTTATCAGATTTACCACACATTTTGAAAATATATTACCGTGTGGGGAATTATCTGCGTCTTGCTCTGATACTATCTATATAGTTCTGCTCAAAGTTGTAAATAAACCCCAAATCACTTCATCTTTGATTCTTACATTAAACTGAATTACCACAAAATTCTGATTAAAATGAGACATTTCCCAGCTCTACACGACCTTTCTTTGCAAAGTTATAGAATTTACAGGAAAGCCCTAAATTAATTCCTTCTTATTTCTGTAGCTTTGAGCTGACAATGAACATTTAGGGGGCTTTTCTTGAAAATTCTATAACTTTGCAAAGACAGGTCATTTTAATTCGAAGGTTTCAAATCACGTTCTTCTTCTTCCCCGTGCAAAATTGAATAAGAAAACTCAGCGATCAAAAATATTTCCAAATTCAAGACGGTCGGCGTTCGCAGCCAGTATATGTGAGAAATGTTGTAAACTTCTTGGATTCCACGGGAAAAGTGCAAAATGTAATATAAACCTAAAGTGTTTTCTGGACACCCTCTGACGATCCCAAGGAGGCTGGAAGCATTCCTAATACAATTCGCCATGATAGACTATCTATATTCTGTAAGTTTTATTGTCCGTAGATGACTTTTTGTGCTGTTTAAACTGACTGATTTCTGGCGACATCTAACCGAGAACTGCAGAAAAAGTTTGCTTAGCTTTTTTTTCTCGGTATTAGTAGAACTTTGAATATTTTCTCTCTGATGGTTATAAAAGAATTTTCTATTTTGCTCTCTTGTGATTGGCTTATCCACGGAATATCTGACAACCATTTTTCCGTATTTTGCGCAGACACCGATAACCATTTTGTAAAACCTCAGATATATCCAAGTTTAAGTTCAGAAGAGCTGTAAATAGATTTTAATATGTGTGTCTAAGCTTAAATCTCATCTACGACGATGCGTCACTGTTTCTAACAATGAACGTCACCCACTGCCATAGCAATAGCTCCTGGTAAATTTCATTTTCATTCTGTCTGACATACTGGTCTTCATCGTGTTTTGTACTGTTTGTTTAATTAAAATGCATTAATCGTCTGCTTGAATCGTTAAACTCTGCTCTAGACGAATAGTAAAAGAAAATTTTAGTTTTTTTTTCACAGTTCTTCTACTCATCGTCTATCTTTCTTGCATTTTCTTTGCGATACCGGCTGATCACGCTTTTTACTTGAGTATCATCAAGAATTTTATTATGTACTGCTGACCATATCTGTGATGGATGAGGAATTTTTCTGTCACATGATAGTTTGGGATTCTTTTGACAAACCGTTCAGTAATAGGTTATTGAGCTCGAACGAGAGTAAGGAAGAAAAGCTATACCGTTTTTCTATCAAATACTCTCTTTCTTAGTTTCAGAGCAAAAATCTCTTGTTTTTTCTGTTTATTTTTAGAATCATTGTGTTTTCATGGGTATTGGTTTCGAACATTCCCATTAAATACTATTATCTGATATGCGCATGCTCAAGATAATTATAAATGGAAATTTAGATTACAACTATCCAACAATTCTCGGCGACAGCGATAAAACACTAAAGCTCGAATACAATATTAAGCTTGTCTTTCGAAAAACATTTCTCAGAAGAAATACGATTATTTAACGGGTGTGCCAGGATAAATGTCTTTCTACGTATTTTCTATTTTTTTCGTGGTTCTCTAGGACCCCAAGATTAGTGTTTTTGTTAAAAGATGCTCCGCGAAATACTGTACAAAACCATACTTAAAAGTGTAGCAAAAATGAGGACGCAGTTCTTTTTGTAGCCTTCTGAGCCCACCCTGGCTACAATTCCTGGTACCGCCGCTAACCACTATACGCAGAATTTAAAAAAATTAATGAAAAATTGCGTGATAACAGTTCAAAAAATCATTATTTCTCCATGGATTTTTATGTGAAAAAATTTGTGTAGCTGAAAGATAGTACGAAGTCACGGCTACATAATGGCTGATTCAGATTTTCTTACTTTCAAAATTATAGTTTTTCACCAATAGCCAAAATCCCGTTCATGTTGGCATAAAAAGCTTTAAGTCTCTCTAGATAGGAGATGAAGCCAATATTATTATATCATTCTACTCGCCATAATAGCACGAAAAATGTTATGCATCGATTTTGGAAAATATTGTCCCGTTGTAGAGAAAATAAATTTTGTTGAAGCAGTTCGCAAAAAACAAGAAAATTCACTTATATTTTATAGTTTCCACCGTCAAATTTTCATATTATTATTTTTTCTTTTTGCAAAACCAATGTCATATCTGGAATTAACATCAAAAACTGAATTGATTGATGTATGTTTCAGGATTTTTGGACAACTTCATTTTTCCGCTGTTTCAACAAAATTTATTTTCTCTACAACGGGACAATATTTTACAAAATCGATGCATAACGTTTTTTGTGCTATTATAGCGAGTAGAATGATATAATAATATTGGCTTCATCTCCTATCTAGATTGATTTTTTTCTTTCATACTGTAACAATACTGAACAGAACAAAAACGACCATGCTTTTTTGGATCCTCAGTGTATCATACTTGAATCGTATCGAAACACTATTTTTCAGATTCAATTTTTTACGGAGAACAAGAATAAAAAGCTTAAAGATTTCCAAACACATTGTGTTCGAGTTTTACATTCGTTTTTTAAAATTTTCAGTTTTTTAAATTTTTATTCGAAAGGTTAAAACACATTCTTGTTCAGCTCGATGAACACTATCCAATCATGTATAAATATCGCAAAAATAAATTTTGCTTCAGTTTTGAATTTCCGAGACGTTACCAAAGATGTGTTTTATACCAATTTAAATCATATTGTAGAAATATTTTTCGTCTTGAACTAATAGGTTCATCTGAAAATTCAAGAACATCAATATCGATTAGAATTTGTACACATGAACGTTTAGAGTTATGAGTAGATAAAATCGAACGGCTCATCCCTGTGTTGCCAATGTTGCATGAAACTAGTTCACATTCTTACGTCGTGTATGGCAGTCTCAGCTAGTCATACCATCCAAATGTTGTGGATACTATTGATTTCTTGCAAACCTTATACAAGATCAATTTCCTCTCATAGTAATAGCCTTACAAATGCTAATGATGACTTATTACCGCCGAATTACATTTGCTCAATCAATTTCAAATATTGGCAGTAACAATGTCTTCAACTCATCCTGCTATATCCCTAGGAGAAACAAAAATTGTGTAGTTAGCTAAAGCTAGCTATTTGATGCATCTCAACTAGTTTAAGCTAGATTAACTAGGTTAAACAACTAGCTACACGTTTTTTTTTCTGCTAGAATACGAGCAAGATGGTTAGTGTAGTCATTAGCCATTGTCTTCAGTCGATTTTTTCAGAATGACAATTATTTTTATTTCAATTACGCAAGGTTCTTATTATTCTAATCAGACTCTAATTTTGTTTTTGTGATATAATGTTCTTTTTAAAAAAAGTTATTTTTATTCATTTTTTTTAATATTAATAGCGTTATAACATTTTTTGAGATTATATATTTTTATTTGTACACTATTCATTGTTGTAATTGTTTGTAATGTGTTCAAAATTCAAACACTGAATGTTTTTTGCTATTTTTTTCTTTTAATAAAGTTAAATGGTCGTAACCTTTATTACTTCTCTCTTGAATATTGAAACTCAACAGAAAAAAGTCTGCCTGTTCCACGTAGATAATCGACTATTCTACATTTTAAGTGTGAACAAACGTAGAACTAGAACGTAAAGGCCTATAAAAGAGATGTCTTAATAAATTGTATTTTTGAACGAGCTGTTCTGAACCGAAATGGGGATGAAAAACAAACCCGTTACGATTCATACGGTTTTTATTCGTTTATTTCACATATATCAAAATATTTCAATTGGTGAAAATGGTTTCACTTCGTTCATCTTCTTATCAATTAACACTATTATTCCGTTTTTTTAAACTAATTTAAACCACTTCCTTTCTTGTTGCTTCACTTTTTCATCCAAAAAAACGATATATTCAATTGACACATCAAATAAGAGAATGAAACTCCATTGGTCAAAACGAAATGACATGAAATTTATTCGATAAATTTGAGACCGACATTGTCTTTGGTGAGTACGTTGTGCTCGAATACATAGTAAGTAAATATAAGTTATAATTTGTCTCCTGTCTAGAAGATGATTATATGGTTTTGTTTTAGATATTAGAATATATGAAATGTTAATGAATCGATGTAGCATTATGTAATTCATACATCACTCATTCCAAAATCTATTCTTATCGGCCTATGCAATTTGTGTTTCTCTCTAAATTGTAAGATATATTGTAAGAGAAGGGGATAGATAACACTCAGACTTGTTAATTTAAAAAATACATTCATTTCAGTTAAATGTGACTTTTGATATATCGAACATCGGTCCGTTCTACATAATAACTTATTTTGATATCATTCCTCTTGGATCGTACGATTCTTTTATCTCAACAAAAAAGTGTTTTTGGATTCTGAGAAAGCTATAAGAATTTTCTAGAAAATTATGAATTTTAAAAGTTAGTGAAAAACTTACGAAAATCTTTTCTGTATAGGATGATTGCATTGTATTACAAAAGCTTACAGATCTTAATTACAGACCTATTCAAATATGTGTTAAATTCCACTAGCAATTTTGAGGTACTATCTATTTTAAACTATGGTGATTTCCAATATTTTTTGAATAACTTTGGTAAAATTATGATAAAGATTTGCGGTTTTCGTCATTCTGTAGAACACAATATAGGACGTTGATTCATAAAAAACTCAATCCTCATGTGAAAGTAATGCAGCACGTGACTGATTGTCGTTCGATGAAAAAGGGATCGATTTTTATCTCCAATAGTTGGATTTGAACTATTAGACTCTGTTCTCTAACTCTACGGAACTATGCGATCTTCATCCATCATCGTTCAGACACTACCTCATCTGAGAGCTTACTCGACAAACTCAGGCATACATTTCAACTTGATCCATTCGAAATATCAGGAAATATTGAATTTCTAGTATACACATGTATTACATGCAATGTGCTTTGATTCTGTTCGCCTTGACCAGTTTTACACCAGTTGATGGTTAGATAGAATCATAGGTTGTACACCTTGTGCTATGGCTTTTCATGGCCTCTGCTTCTCGAATGATCATGTATGAACTACCGCATTCTAGAACCCACATTACAAGGTATAACCATCAACTGGCGCAAAACTGGTCAAGGCGAACAGAATCAAAACACACTGTATGTAATACATGTGTATACCAGAAATTCGATATCTCCTGATATTTCGAATGGATCGGGTTGAAACTTATACTTGGGTTTGTCGATAGCAGAGTCTATCGAATAAGTTCTCAGATGACTTACGGCTCTTATTGAAAAATAAAAATTTGCTTTTTTTGGAGCTTGAAAATTCGATATCTCTTGAACGAAGACCGGTGGACCCGAACTATTTTGAGGTTTTTCTAGATTCATCGCGACCTATTTTCGGTCAAAATAGCAACTTAAACGCGCTCCGGTAGTTGGTGAGTATATCTTGTATCGTTAAAAATTTTGAGCGACTTTTAAATTTTTTAATTTTATGTAAAAGTAGTCTAAAATTGTATATTTTCATATCATCGATTTGTTTAAATTCTTTTATGAAAACCATTTTATACCTAAGATCAATGTATGTTAAAATGAATAGTAATATTCCTGTTGGAACACTTAAATAAGATTAATTTACAAGAGATTTTTACTGAGAATAATATCATTTTCAGATATGCATTCAATCTGTATACGTAATTCATTTGCCATTCGTCAAACATTGTTTCTCACATATCAGTCGACTCAGACGACATCACCATTTCATTCTCATCTAGTTAATTATCGATTTTCTTCTTCAAATTCGAATTCTACACCACAAAAACGTTCCGTAAATAATTTATTTAAACAATTTCGTCAATTATTACATCATTATTTTCTCGGTTCAAAATTATTATTTTCAAATTATAAACAAACAAAATTAATTCGTGAACAAAAGTAAAATTAAATTTTTGTCCAAAGTATATACCGAAGTAATATTGTTTTTTATCTCTTGTTTAGAATGCCATTACGTTTAACTCGTCCAGATCGAAATTTACTCACACAATTTCGTTCAGATTTAATAGTAGGTATTCCATTTATTTCGTTATTTATGGCACCTATTATTGGCTATACAGCACCATTATTAGCCTTTATTGCACCGAGATATTTACCATCAACATTAATTACACCAAATCAAAAAGTAAGATGATTAATTACACTATTCTAATCTATACTATAATTATATTTTCAGTCTTCATTTGTACTCAATGATTCTGTCGTGTCATCTGAAATTGTTCAATCATTGATCAATCAATTCGATACAAATTACGATGATGAAATGTTTAAAAATGTTATTCCTTTGAGACAATGTGTAGAAGAGGTATGTCAATACTATCTAATGGGTACGTTAGAAATAACGGCAGACTTTGTATTTTGTGAAAATCTCGCTCAACTTTGATCGTGGAAAGTGGAGGTTAGACCAGGGATACCAGATTCAAAGCAAGAAAATCGGAAAAACCTCAGAAAAAAGAAGTTCAAAATCAGAAAATTAATAGACTTTTGAACAAAAAACAGCAGAAACGAGGCAGAAAAATTTCAAAAATCAAAATTTTTCGGACAAAAGTAGAAGATCTGGGATCCCTGGATTAGCCTAGAAAGATACCCCGGTGAATTCTCTTCAAGGTCTGTATCAAACGTTTTTCTGTACAAAGCGAAACAAAAATATGAAAACAAGAATATTCAATACGTTCAAAAGGACCAACTTCCTAACCCATTTTTTAAATAATATTTGTCATGTTTTTTAGATTTTAAAAAAAAAGAGTAATGAAGATGTTATTAAATCAAAGGCTGATTTTTGAGCTTAAAAAATCGGTTTAAATCAAAAATCGCTAAAAATCTTTAAAAATCACTAAAAATCGCTTATGATTTTATCGTTTTTTTCTTTACTTTCACTATGTCTGATTCCCATTTTGTACAAATAAAGCAGATTCCGAACTATTTTCCAATGTAACACTATTCCCATTTCCCAAACAAATCACAGTAAATCGAAAAAAATCGCTGAAAATCTATGGAAATCGGCGAAAATAGTAGAGGTCTGCAGGACCAAACGTTTTCGGTCCTGTGAAGAAAAAAAGTTTTGGTCCCGGTCCCGTGGAAAGAACTCATTTTTGGTCCCGGTCCCGTGGTCCGGTAAATATTTTTTCAAAGAAATTTTTTTACTTCATACAAGACTATTTTCAAAAAAACCTGATCGCGGTCCTATTAAAAGTTCCACGGGACCGGGACAATCCCGGACAATCATCTGTTTCCCCCTTGTATTAAATACTTTGAAGTGTGCTCTTTCTCGCCACGAAACTCAAAGTTCGTTGCAAGCAAATTCAAGATTGAAAATTCTAACTTTTCAAAATCCTATTAAAAAATGACTCAAATCTGATATTTTTCACTAGCTGAATCGAAGAAGAGCATTTTAGCTCAACTTTCGCGTCTGAATCTGGTACAGTAGTCACTTTCCATCAAAATAAAGAAAATCCGAACCAAAAGATGCTATTTTGACGCAGGTATGTTTCTTTTCTCAGGAGCTCTAAAATCGCAGATTGAAACAGCTAAGTTCTCGAAAATCTGGAAAAGAAGATGATTAGTGTACGTCATAAGAATGAGCACGAAAATTTTCAAATTATGATCAATCGATAGAACTTTTCAAGGGCTGCAAAATGCCTATATTATTTTATCTTTGTGACCACTAGCCAACGAAAAAATCTAAAAAAAGCGATTTTTGAGCTTAGAAAGTTGGTCTTGTTGAACATGTTGAATATTTTTGTTTCGCTTTATACAGAAAAACGTTTAATACAGACCTTGCAGAGAATTTAACGAGGTATCTTTTGAGTCTAATCTTAATTCTCCATGCTCAAAGCTGAGCGAGATATTCATGAAATACACAGTGTTCTACTATTTCTGATGCATCCGTTATATTCATTTGTTTACTAAATCACGTTCATTGTTAAATTTTAGTTATTGTCTAGTAAAATAGATTCAATTAATTTTCTAACATCTTCAATACCATTGCTCATCTCTTCATTTGAGTCATATCCACTCTCATCATTTTCACGTGAACATTTATTATTATTGCATCGTAGTCTAGTTCATTCATCATTTATTGCCGAGTATGTATTGACCAAAAATCAATTAATTAATAGTTTAGAACAGTGGAAAGAGAAAATCACGTACGATGATTATTTATTGACAAAAGGAAAAGAAAACTTGAGTATGTATCGATTATTTTATCGTTGCATTATATAATTTAATCATGTATCTTTTTATATAGATGAGTTAACATCAAGTGATTTAGTTCAAACTTTATATGATAGAGGTCTTTATTTACATCCACAAGAAATGGCTCAAGTTTTACAACAAGAACAAAATAGACTATTAACAAATATGAAGAAGAAGAGAGATATGAATGAAATAATTTCAGAGCCATCAACTAATTTAGTCAAAGAATGGCAACAATTATTGTCAACATGGTTAAAATTGTATAAAAATAACAACATACCTACTAGTCTACTGGTACATCTTGGACCATTTTTAACAACAAAGAAAAGATAGAAATGAAATAGTACAGTATAAGTTACCGTATTTTGATATCAATTTTTTTTTTAGTACTAATCACAAATCTTTTTTAAATAAAATGTTACAATAATTTCTTCTATCTCCTATTTTATCTTTCTTTTAATAGGTTGAAAAGGGTTTTATTTAAAACATCTCTATTTGGATTATTTATTCTACGCACATCTAGATGATGGACGAGGATTTTTCTGTGCACGATTTGCTGTTTTCTGTGTATAAAAAAATGTTTTGACATTTTTGTGCACGGTTACAGAAAGGTGCACGGAAAAAGACAGAAATGTACAGGTGATGCATAACCTTTTGCCAGGGGGGTACAGCTCCAACGACAAATGATATAAAAATGAATTACATACCAAATAAAAGCTCATCGAAAACGGGATTAACGGGTATAACTGGTAATCCATAGGTTGATTATAAGCTATAGAATTATGGAAGTTTCTATCTGGAGCGTCATAACGAAGGATATTTTCTATTTTTCTCGTGTTCTTTTATGATCCTAAGATTAGTGTTTCTTTCAGAAGATGCGCCACGAAATACTCTACAAAACCATACTCAAACTTTAGTTTTAGACCTTCATTCAAGAGAACTATGTAA